CTTACTTAGACGGATCGTAATGTATGTTTAGTACTAAACTTTGTACCTGTGCCAAGTCAACCGTGAAAATAGTGCCTGTATGTTCTTCATACGTCAATGTGTCAACATCACCCGATGTGGTGAAATGCTGTATTTGTAACATAAACTACTTCACAGAAAAATCTGTTCAATGCGTGGTGCCACCCCGCTTGCACTGATATATATTAAGATACATCAGGACCTCTACACTCACAATCTTTGAGAAAGGTCTACACCACGGGAAAATGGTGTATCTTTTAAAAATGCCCTTTAAATTGTTTATTGAGGTAAAAGAAACAGGGTGACATATTAAATCAATAACAAAAACTGCTAAATTACTCGAAGAAGTAAGCTTGGACAATATTCGCTTAAAAACAGGCTGCGCCTCAAACTTTAAAGCGAAAAATCTCAAAACAAAATTTATCAAAGATACATCAATTCTCCAAATGAGGATGCATAAAAAGTACTTGTACCTGTAGGATATCATAGAGAGTGATTTGAAACATTAAATTGGAAGCATTTTGTGAAATTGGTGGAGAATGGCGTGCATTAAGTTGAAACTAAAAAGGAAAAAAGCAGAGAAAACATCAAAAAAATTATAAATGAGTAACTCGAAGTAATCAAAAGGTGCCAAGTGAACATGACTTTAATTAAGAGACATTTCAGTCCACTATTTGATTTGGTTAAGCAAACATCTTTTCATATCAGTTTTCAAAGATGATATATTTTTAAAATTGCAGGAATATCACTATAGCCTATTTATTACTTGAAATTCATTTTTTTTATTTACTTCACCCTATTCCACATATACGTATACATGAAGACGGTCAAGACAATACTCACATAGGTGCAACACTGATGGGCCACCCAGAAAAATGGAATGTTCAGTTGATTTTCAATTTCAGCTTTATAACTTAATATAAAGAAAAACCTTGGTAAAATTAGAGTGTCGAGGCAAACACAGGGATTACTTACCCAGGCATACTTCATCAGTAAAAGTCGCTGTTCCTGTCCCTACTGTGTTTGTAGCATTGCAACTGATGACAGTACAGCCATCTACTGGAGTGAATAGATGAGATCCTTGGCTGGTCGTGAATTCCTTCACAACCTGAGTACCGTTCAGGATGATCTTATGATTGGTAGCCAGTGGGTTGGCATCCGATGAGCAAGTTATCACTTCATTAGCATACCCAACTGACACGACTGGTACATCTGCAGGAAAAATAAACGCACACGGGAACACAGTTGGACTTGGCAACAATGTGAATATTTTCTTGACTATAGTTGCAGCACAAATTGACACACATCACCAATTCTATGCAAAAGCGTCGATACGAATTCAATTACTATCATGTTTCCAAGATGTCTGTACAGTACATGTCTGTGTTTTACCACAAAGTAAGCAAGCCTTTCTCATCCCTTGCTCCCCAGACAGACACATTGGAATTAATCACAATTCAAACAATTGTTGAAATCTTACTCATACTGTGCATTTGCCATTCAGCTAAAAGTGTGTGACTACAAATGTGCGGGTTAAATCTCCCTACCAAACAGGCAAGTTGGAAACTGCTGTTGAACAGTGCGAGGACAAAACAACCGCTACCCCAACCCATCCACCAGTACGTACACGGCCTGTGACGTCAGCAGAAGGGTTTGTCATGCAAGGGTCTTGCTGTGCATGCAACGTACAGACAGCTCAAACACTTTGGATTAACCAGCTCGCGGCGCAAACAGTTGTCTTTTTACACAACGCAGCGACTTTGGAACCATACTGCTTTTGACAATTGAAATCAATACAACTGGCACTGTTTCTATTAACTTGCCAATGTTCACAACTACATTTACACGTAAGACAATCTTCAGTTTAACATCAAGAGGGTTCGCCATTAGCCAATCATTATATTTGCGATTCGCAGAAGGGAAAATATGACGGAAAACAGTCAAGACTTTTGCAGGATGTGGTTGCAAATTATAAGCAAATGCTTGATACGCACATTGTACATTGAGAGTGAGTGGTGCTGTTTTTGCTGGGGCGACCACCTGTCCTGTTGTTCGGCATTCTAGGATGGCTTCATTGTCTTGCCTTATTGGCGTAAATGTCAGTGTGCCCGATGTGTCAAATGCGTCTCCGTTAGGAGTAGGTGCCTCTGGACTGACGCCCGTTGTTATCTGGACACTGTTCTTGTACCACTCCAAAGTGACTGCAGGTCTGAAGCCCCTGGCTGTGCATCTCAGCACGCTTGGCTCTGATGCTCTCAGGATGATGGGATTTCCTGATGAATAACCGTCAACTGTAATTGTTGGCTCTGCACCTTCAACTAAATAACGCGTAGCAGAATATCATGAAAAGAAATTAATATTAGACTAACATCGCAAGAACCATTTTTAAAGAATTTCATAGAACGTGTACGACGGACTTCTTCCCCGATACATGAGTTTGTTTTTTCTCTAAGAAACAATATTTTAAATATCTTTGTTGGCCGCGTTCCAAAGTGTGATGGTAGGCTCTGCACCTTCAACTAAATAAATGCGTTATAAAATGTAATGAAAAATAAATGAATTTCAGACTAACATTACAGGGAAACAACCACAAACAAAAATCCAAGCAACTGTCCGGGGTTTTGAGTAGAGAGATGGGGATTTCTTCGATAACTGATTTGTTTCCATACGTGAAGAATTTTCAACCCACAGGAACTGTGGCGTAGTACCGTTTCCGAGGTTTTGGTGCTTTCTGTGCAATTAAAAAAATCGCTCGAACAAACTCTGCACCCGCTCCCTGCTGAAAGAAAACTTACTTTCTACAGTCAGTGTGGCTGTTTTTGTGTCTGGATTTAAGGTGCATGAATACGTCCCTTCATCTTCAAGCTCAGCACTTGATATCTTGAGGTCCAACTGTGTAACAGATCCTGAATCCAAATCAAAGTTGGCATACTTTCCGTATGTTTCAGGAGGAACTCTCCGAACCCCATCAGCCTGGGTAGCAAATGGTACTGGACTGCCACCAACAGTGATGTCACTCCACTGGGCAAAGCCTGATGAGTGTTCACTGTTACTACAAAACAGAGTTGCGTCTCTGCCCAGGACCGTGGTTGTGTCCACAAGGTCGGTAATGTCGGCAAAAGTAGCTGGAAAATCAGATATTTAAAATTTATTTATGAATCAAATGTGGAGAATTAAGGTTATTTTTTTCCTTTATTATATTTTGATGATTTTTTTTATTGCCCCATTCAAGTAAAATCTGTTTGTGTCACATTTTTATGTACAGTATTACCAAGTCGATGTCCATTTGAATTTCCGAACTATATTCGTATCATTCAAAAAACCTTTGCCGATTGTATTTTATCAACGCAATTACTGTTTTTGATAAAAGTCTACATTCAAGTTATTTCGAGCTAAACACAAAACTTAAAGGAAATTCCATCCTTTCTTTTAACTAATCCAATGCTAAACGGTAGAGTAGTTCGACACTATGAAAAGAAATGCTCCAGGATCTTATGGTAATAATTTTTGCTACTACAGTTACCTTTTTCCAATACCAGGCTCATTTAAATTCGTTTTAAATTGAGTACTCGTTTACATTCAAATTCGAACATAGAATAACGTCGTCGTTTTCCGAGAATTCGTTGGTTGCATAAGCTGATTCCACAAGTCCTTTAATGTTATACGAAAACCTTAGGAGGTTTTAATTTTGTGCATATGATCTTCACGCGTTGTCATTCCACATTCATCCGAGATACCTTGCTTTTAACCTGAAACTGAATTTCTGAAAATCAGATTAATCAAACAGTTTGCATTTTGTATTGCAAGTTTTTCATTGTGGTTTACGTTAATAAGTCACTAGCTGCTGCTTGTTCCAACTGGATTACTCGATCTTTTGTACACCTATGCCTTGATGTTGAAAACTCTTAGCAGAAACACTCAAGCTATAGGTCTACGGGATCATGTCGCAATACACGTAAAAAAAACTACAAAACAAACCAAAAGAAAAAAAACCGAAATTGATCGTGTGCCTAAAAATATGAAATTAAATTCTGGGCATAACAGACATTGAATTGAATGAAATGGCGACCATTAATAAATGCCTCAGACAGTTTTCCTATTCAACTGCGTGGAACTTGACCGTGTATTAACATTTGATAATGCATGCTGCACTGAGAAGTGATAGCGCCGGCTACGAAATCACGCACTGGCAGCTGGATAACTGACAGTTCAATGAATTCTGATTGGTCAAGAGTCTGTATGTGTACGGGGCTTACCATGCGCGCATCAAATTCATATAACAGGATTCTTTTGGACAACTGGAAAATGGACAGGGATGTTCGAGAAAATGGAAGTAAAATTGTAGAACAAAATCGTTGGAAATCCATCATATATTAACTTCTTTTGACTCTCTGACTAAAATGGGTATTATGAATGGTAATAGATATGTTCTTGGCTGGCTTAACGTTTATGACCAGCTCAGGAGACTGAACGCTGATAATGCCCCAGTCAAAGTCGCGTCCATTCTCCTGAGCCAGTCTTTTATAAACACTGGCCATAAATTATCCCCTTGTTAGTTCTCTTCGCCATGAACGATACAACATTTTCAGATGGGTCCTCAGACATTAACACACAATAGAATTTTCATTTTTATGAGTTAGCTCTTGAAATTTCCATGACCAGAAAGGCATCTACCTCCACCCTTACCCGGTCCCGTGCACAAAATTAAGCCACAAATTGATAACAGGAGGGGGGGGGCATTAATTTTTAAATCAGATGTAAGGGCGAATGGTAAAGATTGAATTTTGTAATTGGGTGGGAGTGCAGTCACATTGTCATTATGCAAAACACTCAGTGTTGACTGGAAATCAGTACTGAAAGAAAACGCTACGATCGCACTATATCCTCAATCACAGGCATACCCACATGAAAAAGATACCTTACCAACTGAAAATACGGTAAAAGCAAACCAACACCGCCGTACCACGAACGAGCTTGTACCAACGACTCCCATACTTTCATTACAAGCGAATTGAGAGCAAACCAAGGGCAACAGAGAAAAACTATTTCGCAAAATAATTTTTTTTAAAAAGAAAAACCAGGAAGTACATCAAACCCAGCAGCCAGCATAAACTTTGAACTCGTATGAAATCATATCGCGCAGACGCAGTGAGTGAGGTGTTATTAGAACGTTAAGGGTGGCGCCCTTTTCAGGCGCTTGGCAACGAGCGAAGATTTCACTCTCCATCGGTTCAGCTGCGTAACATCATATCCTGGAGCACGTACCGCGGCGCTCATTTCCATGCAAGGATCCACACACTATTTTGTGTACAGCATGCG